GTCTCCCTGGGTTAGGGTTAGGGTAAGGATGGCAGATCAATCGATAAAGTATTGAAACTTCACCAGTTGAGGTGGTTGGGACATGTGTTGCGTATGCCGAACCACCGACTGCCTCGTCGAGCCTTGTTTTGTAGTGTAGGAATAGGTTGGAAGAAAGCTAGGGGTGGCCAAACCAAAACATGGCAGAAATCCATGAAGTCATTGACAAGTGGACTGAGCCATGTCGGTAGTTGTCGACTACCTGGTTGGGGTCCGCGAGATGATAATAATCGATGGTTAGAGACCTTGATCGACGTGTCTCAAAATCGTTCGCAATGACGGGGGTGCATTTATTCTTTATGTTCTCTCAAATCCTAATCTTCTGGATTCTTCAACAGCTCTAGTTTTGACTTTCTAAACTTTTCTCACTGAATCATACTTCTTGAATAATATCTTCTAATCCTAACCTTTCCTACTACTTTTAATACTTTTACTACCTCTACTACTATTGGATTTGAATTGACAATTACATCTCTGTGTGCCAGTGTGGTATAGCAACATGAACTGATGTACTTACGTACGAAGTTCTACGTTGCATCTGACTGACTGACTGACTGACAAAAGGCCTCCAATATTAGTAATTAAGCTGTGACTTGACTATTAACTCGTATTCAATCATGGACTTAAATCCAGCCTAAGTAAATGCGATCTAAACAGCTATATGGTACGATAAGTTTACTAAGCTGCACCTTTTTAATTGGCTGTTTCACTAATTCTTCTTGAGTTGTAAAATATGAAATTACCAGGTTAATTTAAAATAAGCTGTAGGTGTTATCTTCATCGTAATTACTGATTAGATTCTATCATTCCTAGTATGGTCCTACAAAAGAAAAAAACTATGAAGATGGTTACTTAAGTTTTGCTTCATGTTCTTCATGTTCACTATTACTCTGTTATGTTCTAACTTTCACATCATGATTACTTTTGGATTAACAGTAATAGTTTGATTTTTAGTCAGTGAAAAGTGTGTTGTTCTCTATTATCCAGTGCAAGGTTATATTCAGTAGTATAGTTTTTTATTTCAAGAAAATCAATGTTCAACAGTTTAGTAAATAATGAATTATATTCATCTTATTAATAATGAAAAGGCTATAAGTCAGTCAGTCAGTCAGTCAGTTACAACCACATTAGCACAGAGAAATTGGATTGGTGATTCAAATCCTATAGTGATCGAAATAGTAGAAGTATTAGCGATAATGGAGAAGATTTGGGTTCGAACATGTTATTCCAGAAGTATAACCCAGTGAAATAAATTCAAAAAGAGAAAGATAAAAGTCTTGAGGAATTTCAAAGATGAGAATTTGAGAGAACACAAACAATGGATGCACCTGTGCGATTTTGAGCCATGTCATTCAAGGTCTCTAACAATCGGTTACTTTCGTCTCGCAGACCCCAACTAGGTAGTCTACACTTACCAATATGACTCAATCCAGTTGTCAGTGACCGCATGGCCACCCCTAGCCTTCTTCCAACCTAACCCTACATTAGACAGCATCGCTCGTCGAGGCACTTGGTGGTTGGGTATATGTGACACATAATAGAACCACCTCAACTGATGAAGATTCACTACTTCATCTAATGATCTGCCATCCTTACTTAGGACCCGTTTCCTAACTCCAACATTGCTTATTCGGTTGTTCAAGGCTACACGAGCAATGCTTCGAAGACAAAAGGCTATAAGTAAACACAAAACAAACAACTACACTTTAGAATTTAAAGGGATGAATAGAAATTAGATTTATTTATTACGTCTTGATATTCTATCCAATTGTGATTGAGTACTAGGTAGGTGTGGCAGGTCAGTAGATGAAGTAGTGAAACTTCATCAGTTGAAGTGGTTGGGACATGTGTTCGTATGCCTAAGCACCGACTGACTCGACAAGCTATGTTTTGTGATGTAGGAGTAGACTGGAAGAAAGCTAGGTGCGGCTAAACCAAAACATGGCAGAAATTCATGAAATCACTGACAAGTGGACTGGGTCATGTTTGTAGATGTCGACTACCTGGTTGGGGCACGTGAGACGAAAGTCATCGATGGTTAGAGGCCCCGAATGACATGGCTCAAAACCGTTTACAATGGCTTAGGTACATCCACTCTTTGTGTTCTCTCAAATCCTAACCTTCTGAATTCCTCATCACTTCTACCTTTCTGTTTTTAAGTTTCTTTCATTAGATTCTACTTCTTGAATAATATCGTTAAACCCTAATCTCTCGGATTATTGCTAATACTTTTTGACTACCTCTACTACTACTAATGGGATTTGAATTGACCATTACATCTCTATGTTTGTTAGGATATTCACCAAATATCTATCCTAAGAGTACTATATTTGGAAGTATAATCCTATTGGTCGATTTCTATTGGTCAAAGTTATGGTCGTTTTAACTGTCAAAGTCAAATATTTCATCAATGTTGTCGCTTATTGGACATCTGGACTGTCAATGTCACAGACATTGATGGTCGTTACTATTCGACCTTAATGTATAAATACTCACTATTTGTAAGCCTTCATGATTCCGATTCCGTTTCTTCCTGCCGCCTACCTCTCTTCTGTTCTCGACCCAATAAACAACTCCATTCAACGGTGTTGCGTTCTGATATGTAGGAGATTTGGAAATAGTATTTTGGGTCGTACTGGGGTATTTGAATTGGACGCTGCTAGGACTGAATAGCTATACGTAGCAGCATTATAACAGTGTGCTAATGTGATATGACAACATGAACTGATGTACGTACGTGCGTACAAAGTTCAACGTTGTTATTGATTGCTTGGCCCAATTGTAATACAACCAAAATATAACTTCTCTAATTAATTTATTTAAAACAAGTGAATAGTTATTTAGCTTGATTTAATGCAATAAAACATTGAATAAATAGTCAAAGCGTTTTAACTTCTAATCATTAGATTATAGGTTTGAACTGTACGTACACTATAATAGCACTAATTCTAACTTAGTGTGATCTAAAATAGGGCAGTACATTAATCTTTACATTGGTAAATGAGTTGTATTATTATTAGTTATTGTAACGGTTGCTTAAGATAATTCCCAGCTAATTGCTATTGCTTAGTATTCTCTGACCACACAATACACTGGACAAGTGTTCCAAAGAATCAAAAAACACGGTTGAACAGGAAAAGATTATATTTCAAAATAGCAAGGTTAAATGGAAATAAGAAGCCAAGGGTGATGGCGAAGGCGAAGAAGGCAAAAATATATACAACGTTAGTCTATTTATAGCATTTACATGAGCAGCTTCTGGACTGGATTAGATTTAACCAATCAGCACGCAGCTAACAATACGAGAATCTTCTACCCTGTTCTCCAAGATTCGATCAGGCGCTGATTGGATTAGGAAATTAGCCAATCAGCGCGCAGCTGACATAGTCATGCTTTAATTCCATCTTATGTCCCACTAACATTATTATTATTATTATTATTATCTCGAACATTTCAATCATTCTATTCAATTGCCAATTTATCATTTTCTATGAAAAAAATACTCTGACTCAGCATTCAATTGTAGCATGATAGATAGATAAATAGATATGTGGTCTTGAGTCATCGTTTTCTATGAATGAGAGCTAGTGTTTGTTAACTTTGAATTAACTCCAGGTGCCTAAATAAGGTCTACACCGTAAGTAGACGGATTAATAATTACTTCTACCAGGTTCCCTAATCCTAAAGTACGTTGTATTGGCCTTGAATATGAAGCCTAATGTCTGGAAGTCAAATACTTTGCCGTTGGTGTATGGGGGCTGTTCAAATCACATTATATTGTGGATGTAGAGGAGTTCAAGTCTTGTATTGTATTCTTCCTTTGTTTAATAATAAAATTGTTAAGATATTGATCCAATTTCCTAAGAGAATTATTGGTTAATTCCTACAGGTCAATTTTATGGTCGTCCTAAATATCAATGTCACGTGCTCCAATGTTGTTTGTTATTCGACCAAAATGTATAGATACGCATTATTTGTAACGTTTTATGACCAGGACCCGGTCCCGGATCCCTAGTTCGAGATCCTGATTGTCTTCTGCACTCGGACCTCGTACTTTCTGGATGCTTATAGAATACAGGTTCTACTTCATATCAAGTCTTGTCTTCTTTTACTCAATATGGGGGGCGTTGGAACACTCGAATTAGAGTAGCCTGTCATGTCACCCGTATCCTCGAACCTCACTCTCATTTCCCGACTAGTCAGTCAGTCAGTTGCAACGTGAAACTTCGTACGTATGTACATAAGTTCATGTTGCCATACCACCAAATTAGCACACAGACGCAAATGTCAAATCAAATCCCATAGTGATAAAGATAGTAAAGGGAATAATGTTAATGAAGAAGACTAGGGTTTGAAGATATTATTCGAGGAGTATAATTCAGTGAGATAAATTTGAGAAGAGAAAGATAGAGGTGCTGACGAATCTAGAAGATTAGGATTTGAGAGAGCTCAAATAATGGATGCACTTACGCCATTGCAAACGATTTTGAGCCATGTCGTTCAAGGTCTCTAACGATCAGTTACTTTCGTCTCGAGGATCCCAACTAGGTAGCCTACACTTACCAACATGACTCAATCCAATTTTCAGTGACTTCATGGATTTGTACCATATTTTGGTTTGGCAACCCCTAGCCTTCTTCCAACCTAACCCTACACCAGACAGCATCGCTCGTCGAGGCACTTGGTGGTTGTGCATACGTAACACATGTCCGAACCACTTCTCAACTGATGAAGTTTCATTACTTCATCTATTGATTTGTCATCCCTACCTAGAACTCGTTTCCTAACGACAACATTGTTTCCCGACTAGGGTAAACTTGCAATAATAGTTCAAGCATATCAAAATGACATATTTACATGTATTCCTAATAAAATATGAATCTACATTAGTTTGCCTTTCCTTCCTTCCTTCCTTTGTTTAACTTATTTTATTCGAATCATTTTGTTCCTTCCTTTATTTGTAGATAATGAATCGTTGAATATTAAACTTAATCCATTCATTGAACCGGAAGTTGTAATTTTATTGACTATTGATCAAATTAAAAATTTATTGAGCAAATCATCTAAACAAGAATTACACGAGGTATATTCCATTTTAGAAATGATAATCTAACTTTTATTTCATTTGAAATTTTGTTTAATTAAGGTTGTTATGACTCGTCAACAGTTGATATGCTTGAATGCGCTATTACGCGTTCACTTTAGTCGGTAAACAAAAGCTAAGACAAGTGATCCATTGACACGATAGGCCACTCTAATCCAAGTGTCCCAAGGCCACACTAACGTTATCAAAATGTCTTGATATGATGGCGTAGAAAGGTGTATTCTACAAGTACCCAGAAAATATGTGGTTTTTTACTGTAGAAGAAGCAGAAGAGGAGCATAAAACTTTACTAGCGATGCATATTTATACAGTCAGGTCGACCTTGAATACTAACCAATAGGAAACAACATTCAAAAGTATGTGAACTTCATCGTTTAGGACGACCTTAAATATTGGCCAATAGGAATTGACCAATAGAATTAGACTTTAAAAATAATTTCTTTAGAATATTGGATGAATATCCCTAACAAAGGTGGATGTAAAACGCGTAGAAAGATAACTCTGTACTACTATGCCAAATCAAGTTGTTTTACGTCATAAAATATATCAACACAAGTAAGAAATAAAGAGAGAGAATTACTAATCGCTAACATACTACTTCGTATGTAACCACTGCCAAGAAAGTTCTGCGCATTACCTTCTCATGACAGGGGTGTTGTTTACAAGTTAGGGAGAACGAACTTTGGTGGGTGCGGGGTATCCACCTAGAGGAGTTGATAAGCCCTAATTTTAAACTACTGGTCCATATGGACGATAAGACCCTGAAGGGAGAAACGGCAAATGAACCAATTTCTGGTCATCGACTACAATGAGACTGGATCAACCTGCAAGTCGAAGACTCAGGGCGTGGCTGCCTATTAAAACCACCAGATTCGGCTTGGGTACCCAGGCAGTATCCCAGCTCATCCACAAGTCCACTAATTTGAATGGCGCATAGAATATTTAGGTACCCAACAAGAGGAAGGATTTGATTGTGCCCTATTCGGTCTCGTGTGCTGTTACTGTCATGAGAGCGGATGTCACTTCCCGGTTTCCCACACCATGGAATGGTGTTTCTTGAGGAACCTGAAAAAAAAGGTAGATTAGTGTTGATCTTAGCGATCTGGGAGCGCGACCGCAGAGCCTGAAAGACAATTCCTTTATGCTGGTCACAAGGCCTTTTTATAGAATTCTTTGGAAGCGTTAGCTCCGCTTTTCAAATGGCCTTACCTCCGGAGACGGAAATCTGTGGGGTTAAGGTTAAGGTGTAACATTTTTAGGATTGACCTTTTCTAACCCTTTTCCTTTCTTGTAAGAAGACAGCATCTTTGCAGATGCCGGTCGTCCGAGGGAAACATCTTATTGCTGTCACACCTCCCTACAGTGGGCGGTGTGCTGTTTACGGGTAGGGGGCGTTTGTCACTTCCCAGCCGCCCACACCGTGGAAGGTTGTTTCTTGAGGAACCTGAAAAGGAAGGTAGATTAGTGTCGTTCTTAGAGATCTGGGAGCGTAACCGCAGAGTTCAAGGGACAGCTGCTTGAGGCCGGTCACGCACGGCCTTTTTATGAAAGGTTTTTCGAGTATTAGCTCCGCTCTTGAAAGCCCTTAGTGGGCACCTTTACCGTCGGAGACGGAAATCCGTGAGGTAGGGTGAGGTGTGACATTTTTAGGGTCGACCTTTTCTAACCCTTCCTTCCTTGTGAGAAGGCAGCATCGCTGCAGATGATGGTTGTCCGAGGGAATGTGGTATGGCAATATGAACTGATGTACTTAAGTACGAAGTTCTACGTTAAGTGACTGACTGACAGTAAGCAGTACGACTTCTTTCTCAGACCTTAAGTTGCTTCTTTTAGTCTTACCGTTCTTCAAAATATATATATATATATGTTTATATCGTTAATGTAATTTTCTTATATTTTTCCATAGAATCCAAATCTTATTGCATTCGGTACAACTTTAATGAATTTACAACGACCAATTACTTGTATTTTCTTGACAGGACCTACTTTTAAATCAAAGTAAGTTTTGATTTTGACTTTTTGTAATCGTATTAGTTTTGAATGGCTATAATTTTCGTGTTCAAGTTATAAAAACATTTAGAGAACTCACTGTTTATCGATCGGTTATAGATGACTATCGTAGATAACTTTAATTATCAACTAATTACTCATACCATATCTGTATGTGATCGTAACCCCTAGCTAGAGTATAGTGAAGTACCACATTTCGATTGTATGTCAAACCAATCAGGTTGATGAAAGTCAATCAGATCCGCGAGACAATAGGGGCGGGGCAAACCAAAACATGGCACAAATCCATGAAGTCACGGACAACTGCACTGTAGGTGTGTGTAGACTGACTACATGGTTGGGGTCCACGAGACAATAGTAACCGATGGTTAGAGACTTTTTGAATGACATGACTCAAAATCGTTTGGAATAGCTCAAGTTTATTCATTGTGTTCTCTCAACTCCCTAGTCTTCTGAATTCCTCATCATCTCTATCTTTCTCTTTCTTAAGCTATCTCACTGAATTATACTTCTTGAGTAATATCTTCTAACCCTACTATCAACGATTACGGCTAATACTGCTACTGTAGTGAAGGAGAACACCGGTGAGGGCAACCGAATTGTATTTATCTCAAAATTACAGAGTTACTCAGTAAAATAGGAAAACGATATCGTAAATCGTTAATTTGTAAAATATCAGTTCATCATATCAAACTAGACTGCTGTTCCTGTTTCAAAACATCAATCCATTGTCACTATTCATGAGTTTCATACACAAATTCCAGTGTGTTCCCACTCTTCCTTTCTTGATCTTCCCCCATCTTCTCTTCTGCCATACATTACGTTTTTACTCGCGTCATATACTACTTATAAGTAGCACGCACCACACTGCTACTACCACCTCTACTACTATGAGATTTGAACTGACAATTTCATTTCTCCATGCTAATGTGAAATGACAACTGTGAATTTCCATCATTTCAAATAAATTATACAATAAGAAACTAGTTACTAATGAGTAGTACTTTTATAGTACATAAATCTTATCCATTGTTAAATACTACCTAAATCTGAATCTAAGACTAGATCTTTCACTGTGTGTGAGAGAGAGAGGAAAATTGTCTAACAACTGATCACTCTTCATTGTCGTGCCATTGTGTATTGCGAAATTGATACTGTCATATTTGTGTTTAATTGAGTTTCAATGAGATCATGAATCGATCAATACTAGGCCATCATTGAAAACCTGAATCACTGAACAGTTGTTTCGTCCTAGTGTTGAACTCATCAGCAGTGCTCATACGCTATCCTGTACAAGAGAATGAAACCCAGAACCTTCGGTTTCGATAGCGAACACCTAACCTCTAAACCACTGAGCCCACAACCAACAGTGTTAATATCTAACGTTAATCACGTTAATCCACGGTATTGCGTGACCCGATCCATTGTCTTCGGTGGGTGACTGATTCACACTTGACATTGTTGAACTCCACTAATCACAGATTATCAGGAGAACTCTGAAAATTTCTTCACGAAACTAGTCAGTAGTGAGTAGATTGATTGAAGTTAGACATTTACACTATTGGATCAAGAGGTTAAGCTTTCGCGCATGACACTGAAGGTCCTGAGTTCGATGCCCATGAGTGTAGGTCGTGGAAGTGCATTGCCACTGAGGAGTCCCATGCTAGGATGGAAACATATGTCCAGTACTTCCTGATTTCTATTGATAATCTAACATTGATCGATTCATGATTTCAAAAAGTAACTCAACAATCTCCACAACCCCATATTATGAAATTCTGGTTTGGTTTTAATACATATTTCAACTCTTAGAACTAACCATGTGTCATCATCATCATCAGCAACAACCACAACAAAAACCTCAATGAATCATTCTGCATCACATACATCATTGAATGAATTATGCGCTGAATTACAATTAAATTGGAATGTGCATAGTACTCGTATCACATCGAATTTAAATGATGTTGCTATGATTTTAAATGCAATTACACGTTCATTAGCTGAGAGACCATTTAAGTAAGTTAGTTTCTTTTCAATACTGTACTGTGCATTCTTGTTTGTACACGAATAAATCTCATGTCATTAGATTATTTTTTGGTATATAATAAACTATTGACCTACAACAGAATAGTTGGATTGTGGTTAACAGTGGCATTCAAGAACTGTTTTGCCACACTATTTGGCACTCGTCAGCTGAATATGCGTACATCCTAGTGTTTATATCTGCATACAAACTGATAACATTTAACTTTCACTGATTTATACATTGAGCTGTTAGGTCCTAATAACCACTAACCTATCCTCCCATGGGTGTTTTCTTACCCTTTCCATTCGTTTTATTTTGTGAATCGTTTTATACTACTTAAATAATATTTAGTAAACAGTTTTTATTAATATAATTTTTGCTGGACGTTTGATGTGTGGTACACGTTTGTATGTTGTTAAATATCCGAAACTAATAACATTTATTCTACTGGTTATCTTAATTGACTTCTCTCAACAACTTCCATAGTTTTGTGCTCTCAATTCCTAATTGTTGTTAGTATTAGAAACCAGCTACTAGTTGTCATTTACTCTGTGTTATGATCAGACTTACAGGCATATGAATCGTTTAAGTTGAGTTGAAATATATAAACAATTTACGTATATTTCCTAGAACTACAGAATTATTCTTTAGACAAATTGTTGTTCTTGAACTTCTGATTTGTACACGTACTCGAACCATCAGATAACCGTTTCGTCCTAGTGTGAAACTCGTCAGTAATAAACAGCCACAACCTCCGAAAACGGGAATCGAACCCAGGAGATTGGTCTCGTGCACGAATGCTTAACCTCTAGACTATTGAATCAACCGAAGGGTTTGTGTTCGATTCTCGTGGGTACGCAATGCTCATTGGTTAAACACTAGGATGAAACATCCGTCCAGTGCTACTAGGTTTTTAGTGGTGGTCTTGCTAAGGGGGACGTTAACACCTTCACATATTTGGGCAGCCTCATTGACAATGAAGGTGGATCAGATGTAGATGTGAAGGCGCGGATCGGTATAGCAAGGGCTGCATTTTTTACAATTAAAAAATATTTGGAACTCTAAACAAATATCAATCAACACCAAAATTCAAAATTTTCAATACGAATGTCAAGACAGTTCTACTGTATGGAACGGAAACTTGGAGAACTACCAAAGCCATCATCATCCAGAAGATACAAGTATTCATTAATAGTTGTCTACGCGAAATACTTCGGATTCGTTGGCCACAGACATCCATCATCAGCAACCACCTACTGTGGGAGAGAACAAACCAGATTTGGATGGAGGAGGAAATCAGGAAGAAGCGCTGGAAGTGGATAAGACACACACTACGAACAGCACCGAACTGCGTCACAAGACATGTCCTCACTTGGAACCCTCAAGCTAAAAGGAAAAGAAGAAGGCCAAAGAACACATTACATCGAGAAACAGAGAAAAACATGAGAAGAATGAACGAAAACTGGAAAAAACTAGAAAGGGAAGCCCAGGACAAAGTTGGTTGGAGACAACTGGTTGGCCGCCTATGCTCCATTGGGGGTAACTAGCGTAAGTAAGTAAGTAAGTTATTAAGATAAGTTGGCGATTTCAACTATGAAAAGAGTGTTAATGCGTGATGCGTTATTTCATTATCCGCTACTGTAAAATGGATATCATTTACAATATGTTATCTCTTATATGACTGGGACATGTGTTATGTATGTTCAAACATCAGCTGCCTTGACAAGTGATGTTTCGTGATGTAGAAGTAGATTGGAAGAAATCTAGAGGCGGCCAAACCAAAACATGGCAGAAATCGATAAAGTCACTGACAAGTGCACTGATTCATGTTGGCAAGTGTAGAGTACCTGATTGGGGTCCTCGAGATAGCAGTAATCGATGGTTAGAGACCTTGAAAGACATGGTTAAATTCTTTGGCATCCATTGTTTGTATTCTCTCAACGTTTAATCTTCTGAACTCCTCATCACCTTTACCTTTCTCTTTTTAAATTTATTTCACTAAATATTCTATGTACTAAATAAATAATTCGATTTTTGTGTGGTTTGAGTTATTGCTTGGGTTTCCAACCCTAACCAGGTTGTTTTCTTAGGGAGCCACTCCTTGCGTCTTTTGGACTTTCAGGTCTAATCCTCAAGATATAAGGAGAATGTGAGTTGAGTTAGTTGTCAAGAGAGAAGAGAGGTATGTATGGTAGCAGGAAGGATTTGATTTCGACCAATTTCGTCTCGTGTGCTGTTACTGGATTCTTCAACACCTCTAGTCTTATCCTTCTAAACTTATCTCACTGAATCATACTTCTTGAATAGTATCTTCTAATCCTAACCTCTCCGATTACTTCTAATTCCTTTACTACCTCTTCTACTATTGGATTTGAATTAAAAATTACATCTCTGTGTGTTAATATGGTATGGCAACATGAACCGATGTACTTACGTACAAAGTTCTACGTTGCATCTGACTGACTGACTAATCCTCAAGATCCTGTGGCATATGTGGACCACAGGTTTGAAATTAGGGTTTTCTGACTCCCTTAAGCGGATCCTTTATACCCACCAACCCGTTTTAAGCCTCCTCCGGACATTCGCTTTTATTCTTATCGATTTCGTAAACAACACTGTTTCCGTGTGAATTCAGTAAGTAGGACTTCCCTTGTAGTGACTATATAGGAGTAGCCGTGGGATGGCATTTGAAGGAGAGTGGATTCTCTCTACTCTCGACGTATCAGGATATTTGGTGGTTTATATGAAGTTAGAAAGCATAAACCATTGGTTCTCCTAACTCAGTGGTATAACTTGTGAGCAAAAACCTCATGTTGTAAATTTCGATAAATATAACTAGTCCTCCCTTCCTCAGTATTTTTATTGTAGTTCATCAACGATGGTGTCAGTTCTGTATGAGAGGTTATTTCAAAATTACAGTCAGTCAGTCAGTCAGTTGCAACGTTGAACTTCGTACGTAACTACATCAGTTCAAGTTGCCACACCACATTAACACACAGACCCAAATGTCAAATCAAATCCCATAGTGATAAAGATAGTAGAGGTATTAATGGTAATGAAGAAGACTAGGGTTCGAAGATATTATTCAAGAAGTATAATTCAGTGAGATAAGGTTAGAAAGACAAAGAAGGTAGAGGTGTTGACGAATCCAGAAGATTAGGATTTGTGAGAGCTCAAAGAATGGATACACTTGCGACATTGCAAACGATTTTGAGCCATGTCGTTCAAGGTCTCTAATCATTGATGAATTTCGTCTCGCGGATCCCAACCAGGTAGTCTACATCTACCGACATGACTCAGTCCACTAGTCAGTGACTTCATGGATTTCTGCCATGTTTTGGTTTGGCTGCCTCTAACATTCTTCCAGCCTATTCCTACACCACAAAACATAGCTTGACAAGACAGTCGGTGGTTGGGCATATGTAACACGTGACCCAACTACCTCAACTGAAGTTTCACTACTTCGTATATTGATCTGCCGTCCTTACCTAGCACTCGTTTCCTAACAATAGCATTGATTACTCGGTTGTCCCACGATATACGAACAATGCTTCTAAGACGTCAATGATCGAAAACTAGTAACCTACGATTTCAAAATTACTCCTTCATATAGGCTGTTTCATTCTACATTCTTTAAAACAATTAGCTCAGTGATAAGCAAAGCATTTCATTTTCAGTCACTGTATCTCAGGCGATGGCTTACTTACTTCGCCGACTAGCGAATTGTTTTTCCTTGTTAGCGTTTTTTTAACAAGTTGGTTTTCTAGCGGGATATGATTGCTCACCACCGTACCCAACCCTTCTCCTTTTATTCCGAGCTTAGAACCAGCAAAGTTTATGACTTACTGGATAATATTGTAGTGAAGGAGAACACAGGTGAGGGCAACCGAATTGTATTTAACGAAAATTACAGAGTTAATTGGTAAAATAGGAAAACCATATCGCGTAAACCATTAATTTGCAAATCTTCAATCCATTGTCTGACATTTCACTATTCATGCGTTTCATACAAATTCCATTGTGTTCCCACTCTTCCTTTCTTGATCTTATCCCATCTTCTGTTGCCAGACATTACGTTTACACTCGCGTCATATACTACTTATAAGTAGTGCGCACCACAATATTACTAACGTGCACATTGTGTGTGTATATGTGATTCGTAGCTGCTAAGCACACGAGAATCCTATAACCTCATTAGCGAGTTCATCTTTTACATAAACAACTTATCTTTCTGTATTTTTTTCTTTACAGACAAGGACGTTTAGAACAAGATGAAGGATTAACATTTCTACCAAATACTATACATAAAGGTTTAAGTGGTTGTGCTTCACGTGGTCGTGGTCCTGGTAAAGCACCAATTATAAATAATATTAACAACAGTAATAATTCTAACGCACTAACTACTGTACAAGAACAAACTTCACATTTATGGTCTAATCGTGTATGGCTTGCTCAATTAGGTCAATGGCGTGGATTAACCGGTGAAATTGCACATGCAATCACTTTAATTTATCCAACTGCTCGATCATTTTATAATGCATGCCAATTAGCTGGAATTCAATCAAGTAAGTAAGTAAGTATATAAATCAGAATTCGTTTTTTTTAACTAAGGAATAGTTAAGGTAGTTTAGCAGCCTCTGCAGCAGCAGTAGGTCTCAACATACATAAAGGAAAAAGCGAAATTCTCCGATGCAACACAACATGCACCAACCAAATCACTCTTGATGGAGATGCCTTGGAGGATGTTAACACCTTTACATATCTTGGCAGCATCATCGACGAGAAAGGTGGATCCGATGCAGATGTGAGGGCGTGAATCGGCAAAGCAAAGGTTGCATTTCTAAAATTGAAAAATATTTGGGACTCCAAACAACTTTCAACCAAAAATCAAAATCAGGATTTTCAATACAAATGTCAAGATAGTTCTACTGTACGGAGCGGAAACTTGTAGAACTACGAAAGGCATCATCCAGAAGATACAAGTGTTTATTAACAGTTGTCTTCGCAAAATACTTCGGATTCGTTGGCCAGACACGATCAGCAACAACCTACTGTGGGAGAGAACAAACACGATTCCAGTGGAGGAGGAAATCAGGAAGAAGTGGTGGAAGTGGATAGGACACACACTGGGAAAAGCACGCAAATGCGTCTCCAGAGAAGCCGTTACATGGAACCGTCAATGTCAAAGGAAAAGAGGAAGGCCAAGGAACACACTACGCCGAGAAAGAGAGAAAGATATGAGAGGAATGAACAAACATTGGACAGAACTGGAGAAGGAAGCCCAGGACAGAGTTGGTTGGAGAAAACTGGTGGGTGGCCTATGCTCCATTGGGGGTAACAGGCGTAAGTAAGTAAGTAAGGTAATTAGTAGTGGCTACAAACTAAATCACGGCACAAATGCATGAAGTCATCGACAAGTAAGTGTGTATTGAGTCATGTTAGTAAGTGTCGACTACCACCACCTGGTTAGGGTCGACGAGATGATAGTAATCGATGGTTAGATAAAGAAAGACCTTGAATGACATTGCTCAAAATCGTTTACAATGGCGTTGGTGCATTCACTCATTGTGTTCTCTCAAATTCTAACCTTCTGAATCACTCATCATCTCTATCTTTCATTCTCTAAATTTATCTCACTAAATATATTTCTCAAATAATTTCTTCAAACCTTAATCTTTCCGATTATTGCTAATTACTTCTACGAGATCTACTACTATGGGATTTGAATTGACGATTACGTCTCTGTGCGCTAATTTGGTATGGCAACTTGAACACTGATGTACGTACGTACGAAGTTCTACGTAGGTGTGTAGGTAGTGCCTAGTCTAGTATTAGAATGCAAGACATATGTTTTATTCTATTTTATAGTATTTCTCAACTCGATATACCTGTGTAATATGAATGCACGACGTTATGATTAGATAGGATAAGTGATTTAGTTAAGGAGATGTTTATTTTATTATTTTAGTACACTATTTTGTGACTGTCACCAAGGGCGTTTTTATCATTGTATAAATAAGCCTGATTCATGTGCATAGCAACCTCATATTTTCTGGTTGCTTGTAGAATACATTGTCTCTATGCCTTATCATCAAGACTTCTTGCTTTAGTTTGTTAGCAGGACCTGGGGATAATCGGATTAGAATAGCCTATCGTGTCATTGTATCTGTTGTAACGCTTGCTTAAGATAATTCCTAGCTAATTGCTATTGCTTAGTATTCTCTGACCACACAATACACTGGACAAGTTCCAAAAGAATCAAAAACACGGTGGAACAGGAAAAGATTATATTCCAAATAGCAAAGATTAAATGGAAATACGAAGCCCAAGGCCAAATATAGATACAACATTAGTTTCTTTATAGTATTTACATGAAAAGCTTCTGGATAGTAGTCATTCACGTGATCAACTGATTTGGATTTAGCCAATCAGCATGCAGCTAACAACACAAGAATTTTCTACCCTGTTCTCCAAGAATTGATCAGGCACTGATTGGATTAGGAAATTAGCCAATCAGCGCGCAGCTGACGTATAGTCACGCTTAAATTCCATCTTATGTCCCACTATAACAGTATCGTTGCTCTTCATTCTGTTTACCCGAATAAGTCGGACTCGTCGTAATAGCTGGCAAGCATATCACAACTGTTGTTTTAAATAGTCAGCATTTCTTCCTTTCTTTCATTCTATTCAGATTCAAATCACTCTACAACATCGTCATCCACATCATCCGCATCATCGTGTTCTAATCGAATGACCAATCATCCATTTGAACTAGACTTGGCTAATTTAGAAATACGTCGTGGTGTTGGTGTCCTAATGACAAAACGACGTTTAGGTGTAGAATTTGCTAGACGCCTGATTAAATTATTCACATCGACTAATCCTAATGAAATTGTCAATTAAGGAGAGAGAGAGAGAAAATGTTTGCTGATTTTACCTCTGTGTACAGATTTATTTGTGTACGATTATTATTGACATTTTTCAATGATTTTTTCGCCAAATAGTTCATGTATATTTATTGTTAAATAAGATAACAGCTGTGAATACAAGACAGTTGTTTTCTTGATATACACTGCATGATTGTTACTGGCTTACTTGCGCCTGTTTACTTATTTACTGAAGCCTGTTTGCCGTCAATCGAGCATAGGCCGCTCACTAAGATTGTTCAACATACTCTGTTCTGAGGCTTCCTTTTCAGTTCTATCCAATCGCTGTTCATTCTTTTCATGTGTGTCTCGAATTCTTGGAATAATGCATTCTTTTTTGACATTGAGGATTTCAAGTTAGTGCTCGTCGTGTGGTGCAGTTGAGTGATTTCCGCAATGTATGACCTATCCACATCCAGCGCCTCTTCCTGTTACACCTGCACGTAAACACGTGAACTTGATATACTTGAACTATTATGAGTTTACCTAGTAGGAAAACGAGAGCGAGGATCGAACATCCGGCGACACGACATGCTACTCAAATCCGATTATCCCAACCCCCATATTGAGTAAAAATTAGAAGACTTGATATGAAGTACAACCTGTATTCTACAAGCATTCAGAAAGTACGAGGTCCGAGTCCAGAAGAGAATCAGGATCCCGGACTAGGGATCCGGGACCGGGTCCTGGTCCTGGTCATAAAACGTTACAGATAATGCGTATTTATACATTTTGGTCGAATAGGAAACAGCATCGAAGTCTGTGACATTGACAGTTAAGACGACCAATACGAAACAACATTGGAGCACGTGACATTGATATCTAGGACGACCATAAAATTGACCAGTAGGAATGGACCAAATTGGATGAATATCCTAACACTTCCTCTGTTGGAATATGGTTTGTTCTCTCCTACGCTAGGTTGTTGCTGATGGTGTTTGGCCAACGGATCCTAACTATTTTGCGTAGACAACTGTTTGTCTTGCGAATGATGGCATGCGTGGTTCTCCAACTTTCCACCCCATACAATAGAACTGTCTTGACATTTGTATTGAAAATTGCGGCTTTAGTGTTGGTTGATAAGTGTTTTAAGCTCTAGATGTTGTTCAGTTGTGAAAATTCTGCCCTTGCTTTGCTAATCCGTGTTTTTACATCTACATCACGCCTACTTTGTTTGTCAGTGGTGCGCTGCCCAGATGTATGTAAAGGTTTCCACCTATTCGAAAGTTTCTTCATCAAATTTGATTTAGTTGCTGCATCCTGTGCTGTATCGGAAGATCTTGTCTTTCCCGATTGTTTATGTTCGAGACCTACTGCTGGTACACTGACCGCCTTCTCCTACATAAGTTATTGTTGTTGTGTGTGTACGCGAGTAGATTGTAAGAAAGCTAGGGGCGGCCAAACCAAAACATGGCAGAAATTCATGAAGTCACTGAAAACTGAAATGAATCATGTTGGTAAGTATAGTAGACTACATGGTTGGGGTCCGCGAGACGATAGTAACCGATGGTTAAAGACCTTGAACGACATGGCTCAGAATTGTTTGCCATGGCGCAGGTGCATCCACTCTTTGTGTTCTATGAAATTCTAGGCTTCTGCTTTCCTCATCATCTCTATCTTTCTCTTTCTAAATTTATCTTACTGAATTATACTTCTCGAATCATATTTTCGCTTCCTAATCTTCTCAATTACTGCTAATACTTCTATTATTGCTATCACTGTTGGATTTGAACTGACAGTTGTGTCTCTGTACTGACGTGGTATGGCAACCTGAACTTATGTACGGAGTTCTGCGTTGTATCTGTCTGTCGACAATTCTGACAAGTTTTTAATGCTATTTTAACATTGATCAGTTTGTGATTTGTTATGCTGGATTTATGGGTTTTTTGTTTTTCTTGGCAGATTCAACAAAATTTGTTTTCATTTTCGTATTGATATGAAGTAATTGAATTGATCAATGACTTTTTGTAGAATTTATATGAATTCTATGCAAATTGCCTTGATATTTACAAAAATTAGTGACACCTATAAATGGCTATTAGGTTTCTGTAACGCTAAGCTGTAATGAAGAAGATTATGGGTTCGAAGAAATTATTCAAGAAGTATAATTCAGTGAGATAACTTTAGGAATATAGAGGTGATGAGGAATTCAGAATTTGAGAGAAAACGAACGATTTTAAGTCATGTCGTTCAACATCTCAAACCATCGGTTACTGTCGTCACGCGGACCCGAACCAGGTAGTCTATGCTTACCAACATAACTCAGATCTAAGTGATTTAAGTGTATGACAATAGAAGGTATTATTAGTTTTTGAATTCAATTGTGGATATTGACAGTGATGAGTCCCTCAAATTGAACGGAATGAACTTCTTGAATGCCTTTCGACTAACAATGTTCTCTTTATTGTGTATGAATACTTATTTGTATGCTTCAGTTTATAAGTTGAAAGATACTGTCTAGTTGATTTAAGCTGAGTGCTAATACAGACTGAAGAAGCTTACAATGGAATTTGTTTGCTGATATATATTTCAGTGAAGTGATAATTGTTAGAGATTTCCATACACTGTCAAATAAACTGTCCACGAAAATGATTAGTCAATAATCCAGTCAGTCAACTATAACGTAGAACTTCCTACGTAAGTACATCAGTGTTCAAGTTGCCATACCACATTAGCACACAAAGAGATGGAATTGTCAATTCATATCTCTTTGGGGTAGAAGTAGTAGTGTGGTGGCCAATTTCTACGTGTTCCTTTGTCTTCGTAATTAGCTCGTCCAGACAATCGTTGCTAAATAGCGTCTGACGGTTCAGAAATCAGAAGGTAAACTCGAAGTGTTGAATGCGTTCATTTTGGCACACCACAAATAGGGATAGCAAACCGGGCAGGCACACTAGCTTGTGGATTAATAAGATTAGAAGGTTCGTGTATATACATAGGAAGATATATGAGTCATCACGGTGTTTAAGAGATTAACATTTAAGCGAATAGGATGAATATACGCGTAGGCGGTAAGCCATGCTCAGTCGTACAAGCTCATACAAACCACACAATAAAAAATACCAATGGTACATATAAGTTATTGTTATACAAATGGTTTGGTTAAATAAATTAATCGAAATGGCTTAATCAGATTAAATGAGAGCGAACTCAAGTTTATGTGGAGGCACTACAATAGCAGTATTGGCGCGGTAATTGAAAAGATTAACGATCGAAAATACAATTTTATAAGTATATCCCAGTGAAATAAATTTAAAAAGAGTGAGATCAAAGTGATGAGGAGTTCAAAAGGTTAGAATTTGAGAGAAGACAAGGAAGAGTGGATGTACCTGCGCCATTACATACGATTTTGAGCCATGTCATCCAAGAAGTCTCTAAACGTCGGTTACTATTGTCTCACCGACCCGAATCAAGTAGTCTGCATCTATGAGCATGACTCAGTACAACTAGAAAAAACAGCATTGACAGATCAATCTACCATGATTTAAGTGTAGGATTACTTTCTGATTAATTGTTCAAATTAATTAAATTTATAGGGGACGTGTTTATATAAAGTATTTGCGAGTAAGGCGGTTTAATTAATGGGTTCAGTAATCAAAGAATAAGATATTTAGAGTTCTTATAATCTCACTTGTAGAATGGAACATATGTACAGCAGTATGTATATTGAAGGCATTTTCTGAAGAGGAGGAGTCGTAGGCATTGATTCATAGCAAATTTTCTCCCCGGGTCTTAGAAAATTTTTGGCTAAGATTTACAATGGGATTGTATCACTGATGACAAAGAGTTATGGTAGTTATAACTAGGAGTTTCTGCACATCAGATTACATTTATAGATGTAAAAGACAGTTTATTGAGTATTTTCAGTTAGAGCTTTGGTTACGTCTTCTCACTAGAACTCCGAGAATTTCCTTACGAAGCTAGTCAATAGTGAGTTCAACCCTGTCGAGTGTAGGTACTAACTACCAAAGACAAATGGGTGAGGTCGCGCAAAATCCGTAGATCAATCAGAGTTGGACATTAACATCGTTGGGTGCCGGCCCAGTGGTCCGATAGTTAGGCGTTCGCGCACAATACCGAATCTCCCAGGTTCAAATCCTGCGAGGTGCAAGAGGCGTGGATGTGCACTGCTGATGAGTCAGTCCCATACCAGGACGATACGGCCGTCTTTCAGTGCCTCCAGGTCTCTGATGGTAGTCTAACAATGATTGATCAATGATTTCGAATGCGTATTGAGTATTTGGAAAGAAAGAATAGACTTAGTTCAAGTCTTCTCTCCCATGAAGGATTAAATCCAAGGTTATGGCATCAATCCCAAGAATACAAAGTGTTAATCACTTCTGAACAGATTCCAGTCTTAGTTAGTCCTTTATGCGTACTCTAATAAGAATTAACTTACAGCATTCTAGAAGTGATTGAACACATACTTTTGACATGACAATACGTTAATTATTGCTTATATCGGTTACATGGTTTTCAACCTAGAATGCGTTAAGACTTGCAAGTCTATTTCGAGACCTGTTCTGCAAAATACAAACTATAAGAATCACCAAATCCACAACTGTATGGATCTTCAATAGCACCTTACGTCTAGGTTCAGTTAAGTGTTACCAAAGTAAATCTATCCACATTTAGCCTATGGGCTCTTGTATAGCTCTTATGACTGATGCATTTTACTTATGGTTCATGATAAGTGAATGAATACACTGCTGTGAAATCATCTAATCAGAAGTATTCGCAAGTATCATTTATGTAAGTTAGAAACAGCAAAGACATATCTTGTATTACAGCACGTTTATCCTGGACAACAAGTGATCAGGAGTTTATTTTGATTATAATAAGTCACGGACTGGGGAAAGAATTAAACTGTAAGTAAGTAATAGGCTTCTTATCCTGTTAGATGTAAGTTTGTCTATGAGAAGGAGGTGATTAATCATATCTCTAGGTTTTATGATTTAGAAATTGTGCGTTCAATGAAATATTCTCAATGTACTTAATACGAATGTATACCGGTTAGATGACTGTAGTGTAGGAAACTGTCCTTAAATTACTTCAAACTTTTTAAACTACTTATAAGTAGACTAATAATTATGCGATAAAATATTCGACTT